CCATCTCGCTGGACTCCTGGCCTTGCATGGGCCAACTCTCTGCGCTGGACTTGGTACTCATGGGTGGATGTTTTACACCCAGGCTCTGTGTGTCCTGGCACTGACACTTCTCCCAGGTGAAGAAGCGACACCAAGTTCAGCAGGGTGAGGGGTAGTTGTTTAATAGATGAGGTGGCAACGTTAACATGTGGCTCTCACTGCACACCAAAAATGCCCAAGGACATAGTGTCTCAGCAGGAGCTGCTTAGTGAGGCCAGTTCCCTGTGACCCTCACCCAGCAGAGACCAATCCCTGCCATTCAGATCATGATCTGGAGGGGAAAGCTAGGATGGACACCAGCCCCATCACTGTCCCAAAGTTGCATTTTATGTAGCTAGTCCCGCACCCCAGGGGTCCTGACCCACCAGATAAGGCTCGGGGTTTCAGGTCAATCCTTCCTCCCTGGGACCTGGCTGCTGCCTGTGAAAGGGTGAACATCTTTGATGGTCATTTCTGACCTGGATGCCATGACAGGTGTGTTTAGCCACAGGTTTAAAGCAGTACATTGTGGAGATGCTCAGATGGCAGGAGTTATGAGAGGTGCTGGGTATCAAGCAGACCCTACCCTTGTCAGCCTAGAACACCCAAGGGCAGTGGGTGCACCTGCCTTCATGAGACAGGCACCAGGCCCACAGGCCAAAGCAATTGTTGTCAGTGTTTTATATCAGTGATAACAAAACAGTTGTATTTCTAAAAGACATTCAGTTCATGGTGTGGCAAGGCAGGTAGCAGCCCAACTGGTTCCACTGGGACTCCATCTGGAGAACTAAGACAGCCCTGGGTCCTCCCTGTGTAGGAGGGCAAGGCAGGGTGGTCTGGGTCCTGGTCTGGACGTCATACCCTATCCCCGGTCCCCATGGCTACTGGCACAGGCCCGTCCCAGGGTCCCACTAGGCCAGGGCAGGGGGAGGTGAACTGGCTGTCTTTGCTCCAATTTTAACACAACTGAAAGATTCTGGTCCCTTGGCAGTTTCTGCCACTGACCTTGACGCCCAGGCCGGAGCTGCCTGGCCCACCTGGTCAGGTGACCCTTATCTCCAGGACTCTGGGGAGACAGAGGTCGGTTGCCTGCCCTGCAGTTTGCTGTCGTCAATAACTCCAAAGCTCCCAATCGGCTCTCGGCCTGAGGAAACGCCCTCCCTGGGCAGTTGCAACAGCTCCCTCCTAGTTCAGTTGACACAGGATGAGTGAACAACACTTTCCTGTCCTGGAACAAAGCACACACACCTCCCTGGTTTTCCGAAGGCTGCACCCACCCACCCTCCAGTACCAGTCGGCCAATCCCATGCCCAGGCCTTCTGTATCCTCCCAGGTGCCAGGCACACATGAAGGGGGTCCTGACCCCTGTGGGGGTACAGGAGGTAAACAGTGTGACACACGGGGTGTGTGGCTTGACAGTATCTAAGGACATTGGACAATGGAGACGACTCCCTGGGGTCTGAGGGGGAGCTGAGTAGAGAAAGGGACAAGCATTCCAGGCTGAGGGAACAGCACTTGAAAGGGCACAGATGCATTTGTCTGACTGAAGTGGAGCTGGGAGTGCAGTTGGGGAGGACAGGAGACAGGGTTTGGGAGGCCACAATGAGCTGGCAAAGGACAAGTTGCTAGGGGAAGCCCTGAGATTTCAGAATGGAAATGGTGCTGTCCCAGGTAGGTGAGTGAGCCCCAGAGTGGGGAGGAAGAGTCACTGGGAGAAGGAGTCAGGGCCTGTGGGGCCACAGGTAAAGAGGTCAGGACAGGAGTTGAGGCCAGGCTGGGGGTGCTGTACCTTGGGGAACATGTACCCCCAGATCACAGGAGGCAAGAGCTTCCCAGGGTGGGTATATCACACCAGCCTAGGGGTGTGGCCATGGTCTAAGATCAGCTCATGGCAGAGGAAGGGTTCATCAGGGAGCTGTGGCAGGTCAGCATTAGGCCTGGGCAGGGGTTTGGGCCAGGTTGACACCACAGTATGACTCCAGGGCCCACAGTGTAGCACAGACATCACCAAGCCTGCAACAGGCCCAGCACCAGACCCCAGACCTGGAACAGGGCTGGACCTGAAGCCACCAGCTCTGTCTGGGTTCTGTGCAGGACTTCCTTCACACAGGATCCGTGACTGTAAACCCTTCCATCTTTGTTCCTGTAACCCTCAGTCCTCTCTGTCTGGAAGGCCCTCACCCCCACCTAATCCCAGGACCCCAGTTGGATAAAATCAGGTTCTCCATTTTGATGCTGTGTTTAATGGAGCAGTTAGACTAAGTCCTGGCCCAGAGCAAATGCTCAGCAGGGAAAGAGAGAAGGATGGAGGGGAAGGGGAAAGAGAAGGAAGAGAGGAGGGAAAAAGAGGGTCGGGGGAGGGAGGGAACCAGCTTCCACCAGGCTTCCTTGTGCTGGGGAAGGCTTTGACATGCCTGCCCTGGGAAGCTGGGATATCTCAGTCACCTTTCCCAGGGACCCAGGATTTGACCTGGGTCTGCCTGGTTCTCTTTCAGCCCATCATGGGCTGAACAGTGCCGTGAGGCCTGTCCCAGCTACCGAGTGCCACAGACACACAGAAGAAGGACAGTGGGGGTTAGTAGGTTATGGGGCCGGAGCTTGGGAGGAGGCTGGGATGGAGGAAAGACAACTATGGGACTGAATCCTGGCTGCCCTGCCTGTTTCATCACCCAACAGATGCCACGGTACCACCACTCATACCAAGAAGGATGCGAGGGTCCCTCAGGTGCTCAGGCCATGATGGCCCAGCCAGCTAAGGCTTGTGGTGTCCCCACACTCCCAGGAAGCCTGGCAAAAGCCAATCCCAGCAATGAGTGCTCTGCTGAGCTGGAGAGTGAGTCCCCACAGAAGAAAGATAGGGGGTACGTGGTCCCAGGAGGAGTTGCTGCCTCCCTGGTCACTGTGAAGATTCCTGTTGTTAGTTTTTTTGGAGGGTGATGAAGACCTGACCCTTTACTGGTTACTAAAACTCAGAGCTGCCTCCTTCAAAGGAGTATCAGATCCACAAACAGGAAACAGGAAGGTCCCTTAATAACTGCCAACAGGTCCCTTAATAACTGCTAAGATGGCTCAGCCTGTAATCCCACGCTTTTGGGAGGCTGAGGTGAGTGGATTGCCTGAGCCCGCGGGTTCAAGACCCGCCTGGGCAGCGAGACCTCATCTCTACAATAAATTAAAAAATCAGCCGGGCGTGGTAGCGCATGCCTGTAATTCCAGCTACTGGGAAGGCTGAGGCGGAAGGATC